TAAGTCTTTCCTTACATGTAAATAATGCTTCTTTGAAATCTTTATGGGAGCTTGAAGTTTTGGGTATTTCCGACCCGACGGAAAATAGTAAAACGAAAAATCTTCATTGCGACTACGAGATTGATTTTCAGAATAAATTATCTATTCGGCCCGATGGTAGATATGAATTAGAATTACCCTGGAAATGCGAATCTACCAATTTATCAGATAATAAAAGCATTGCTTTGACACGTCATCAAAAAATGATAAAGAGGGCAAAAGAAAATAATTCTTTGAAGGAATATCAAGAAGTGTTTAGAGAGTGGGAAAATTTAAATATTATAGAAAAGGTTCCGGAAAAGGAATTAAACAATAAATGCCACTTTTTACCACACAGACCGGTTATTAAGATGAATAGTGAAAGCACTAAGGTAAGACCCGTTTTTGATGCTTCATCTTGTGAAAAGGGAAAACCATCTTTGAATCAGTGTTTATTGAAAGGACCTAATTTAATAGAATTAGTCCCTGATATTTTAGACAGAATGAGATTTTTTCCTATTGGTCTGAGTGCAGACATAGAGAAAGCATTCTTGCAGTTAGGAATTTCTCCGAAGGATAGAGATTACTTGCGATTTTTCTATCCAAGTGATGAGGGAGAAATAGTGTATAGGCACTGCAGAGTAGTTTTTGGGGTTTCCTGCAGCCCTTATCTACTAGGTGCGTCTATTAAATATCTCTTGAATAATTGTCCATCTGACTTTTTAGATGTGGCTGACAAATTAAAAAATTCGTTCTATGTAGATAATTGTATTACGGGTGTTTACAATATTGAGGAACAAGAGGATTTAATTCAAAAGGCCAAAAGTCTTATGTCGAGAGGCAGATTTAATTTAAGGGGATGGGAGAGCAATGTTGCTTCCAAATATACTATACAAAACATTCTGGGGGACACACCTCTTTTAGGAATATTGTGGAATTTAGACAATGATACTTTAAGGTGTAATATAAATGTAAATATGATAACTTGTGATACTAAGGTAACTAAGAGACTGATTCTGTCTATTGTACAATCAATTTTTGATCCAATTGGAATACTTGCACCAATAACTTTGCTTCCAAAACTTTTGTTACAAGAAACATGGAAGTTGAAATTTTCTTGGGACGAGGTATTGCCTCATGATTTTGTAAGTAAATTTTTTGTGTGGTTATCTGATATACTTTTGTTGAAAAATGTGGCAATACCCCGATTCATTGGAACCTTTGCAACAGTTGAATTGCATGTATTTGTCGATGCCTGCAAATATGCTTATGCAGGATGTATTTTCGCGAGAAGTGTTGATTCATGCAGTGTAAAAATTACTCTCTTAAGAGCAAAATCTAGAGTAGCTCCTATTAAGAATTTGACGATTCCTAGATTGGAATTAATGTCCTGTTGCATTGGATCCCGATTATTATATTCTGTTTGTAAAGCTCTTAATGATTTTGATATAAATGTAACTTTATGGTGTGATTCCACAGTCGCATTATGGTGGATCAGAAATCCTGGTAATTGGTCAAACTTTGTAAGCAATCGTGTTAAAGAAATTACTAAGTTGACAAAACCTGAATCATGGAGGCATGTGCCTGGTAATATGAACCCAGCAGATGTGTTATCTCGAGGTTGCTCTGCTAAACAAATGATTAACTCGGAGTGGTTTAAGGGACCTCTCTGGCTAAGAGAAAGCCCTGAATTTTGGCCTACCAATATTGTTTGTCAGCCGAGCGAAGCTGACTTGGAAAAGAGGAAGGTAAAACTTATTAATGTTAACTTTTCAGAGGATACCACTCCTTGGTATGCAGAAAGAGTTTCTGATTATGAGAAAATGATTCGTGTAACCGGTTGGGTGTTACGTTTTATTTCTAACTGTAGGAAGAAGTCAAATTTGTGTAAAGAATCTAAACTAACTGTTGCTGAAATCATAAATTCCGAAAAAGTTTTGATTCGGTTGGTTCAAAGCTCAAATTTCCCTGACATTGGAGCTCTTAATCCACTTGATGTATTCATTGATAATGAAAAAATTATAAGAGTTAAAACTAGAATATTGGAACGCAAAGACAATTCTGAATTTTTAACACCAATTTTGTTACCGAGTAAATGTATCTTTACTACATTGTTAATTGAGTCAGTTCATAAGAAACATTGTCATGCTGGAACTCAAATGCTTCAATCTATTTTAAGAGAAAGATTCTGGATACTAAAACAACGTAAAACTGTGCGTAATGTGTTAAAAGGGTGTGTAATATGTCAACGATATAAAGCGAAACCGATGTCTTGCGAAGTGACTCCTCTTCCTGAAGATCGCGTAGGAGATTATAGGGCTTTTGAAATTTTGGGAGTAGATTTAGCTGGCCCATTGTTTTTGAAAGACGGTAAGAAGGTTTGGATGGCACTCTTCACATGCGCTGTGTACAGGGCAATCCATCTAGAACTGGTGACTTCGTTATCAACAGAATCTTTTCTTTTGGCTTTAAGACGATTCATAGCCAGACGTGGCAGACCACGAACCATTTATTCTGACAATGGGACTAACTTCCGAGGAACGTATAACGAAATGTCTAAACTTAACTGGGACATAATAGAGAATGAGGCAAAAATAAAGAGAATAGTATGGAAATTCAATCCACCAACAGCCTCCTGGTGGGGAGGTTGGTGGGAACGGCTAGTTCGCATGGTTAAAGAACTTTTAAGACGTTCTTTGGGAAAATCGGTTTTATCTTATGAAGAACTGGAAACCTTAATTTGCGATTGTGAGTCGGTAATTAATTCTCGACCTTTAACATATATTTCGGAGAACTCTGAAGATGCTATCCCTTTAACTCCGTCAATGTTTTTAATTGAAAATTGTACTTCGAATGTAGCAGATATAGATAAAATTGACTCTCAGCATTTTTTGAGAAGAATTAAATACCGCACAAAACTTCTTAAAGATTTAAGGAACCGTTTCCGAAAAGAATATTTGGGGCAATTAATAATGAAACAACCACAAAATAAAGTAACCCGGTTGCCTAAAATTGGGGAGATAGTCTTAATAGGCGATGATTTCAAAAAAACGCTTGTATTGGCCTTTGGGTAAAATTATAGAGAAAATTCCTGGTCGGGATGGCAAAATTCGAACAGTTAAACTAAAAACTCAGAATGGGATTTTCATAAGGCCCGTTCAGCGTATTTATCCACTAGAGATACAACTAGATGAAAATTATTTAGTTGAAGAGCCTAACGTTAACGACGATAAGAAAAACGATCAGACTGACGTACAGCATATAAAACAGAAATTTACGTCGTCAGGACGGCTTGTTAAGAAGCCTAATGTACTAGACCTTTTTAATAGGATAACATATGTTTTTGAGTCGTTTGCCACTGACTCAAAAAGGGGGGAGGATGTTGCATAATCGAGAAAATATTGTTAAGAATTTTATTATTACTATTTTTATTATTGTCTATTTTTCAAAAGTGTGTTTTTTGTTTTATTATTGTGTGAAGTTGTAACTATATGTCTTTTCTTGTGTGGCAACAACGCTTCTGTAATTCTTCAATTTGAACTTTTGGATGTGTGCCAAGTTTGATGGCTTAATGCTCTGGTGAGAGCGTCGATTGATTGTGTAGATGAAACATGTTGTTTCAGAACGTTATTTCTTTAAAATATGTAAAATAAATGTTTTGTTTTCTGAACTCGGATTATGCAAACGTTATTTGTTTCAACAAAAAGTTTGCCAAAAGAGAAATGCCATAGCTGAGAATTAAGAATTATCACACAAATAGAGCACTGAGAGTTTTTATATGAAATTACCTAAAAGGAAAAAGTTAAATAACTATGAAAGTATGATTATAAATCAGTACAACTCATAAATTTAAGCATACAGCTGGAAGAAATTTATTGTCAAAAAATAGATTTTGAGATGCTTAACATTATGCATGTATTTAAAAGTAAAAATTGAAAATTCAATAATGAAAGTATTTTTAACTAATATAAAAATGTGAAATATAATAGTATATGAAAATGTTTTAGAAACTTTTAAAATAACTTAAATCATATGAGAAATTTGGCAGTTTAAAAAAAATTCAAGAAAGAAGCTGAACTGCAGAGAAAAAAAGGGAGTCAAAAGCCGCACATCTTTATATGAATGCAAAATATCGGAAGTTTGGATACCCTAGAATGTTAAATAATAACGTTTTAGTGAACACCGCTAAGGAGCCAAAAATGGCACCCCAAACCTGAACTACAACCCTAAAGCGTGGCTACAATACGAGGCCCAAGCTTGAACATGGCTGATGAGTCAACTTGTATGTCTAGTAGATGTAATATGATTGGCTTATTTTAACGAACTTCCCCAACTCTCGAACGAAGGCTACTTACCGTAAGGATCCCTCCGACGGTCGTTGTCAGGAATGCCAATTTAACCAACAGTCCTTACAGTTACTGAAGCGGTGAAGTTTAGCGGTCGTCCGTTAAGACAAGATCGTTATTTACGTTCCATCTCGTGAATAGGGCCCTTTGACTGTTATGTAACTGAACCCCGAATCTTTAATTTCTCCCCCTTCATTACATCTATTCAGCTTTACCAAACACACTCACTACACACACCTGAGAGACACTATTTATAGAAAATGAACACAGTCTTCTTCCCTTTTGACTACATGCATGGACTCAATCATATTTTTAGGAAATTTTCTATTTCTTTTCCTCTTTTTCTATAGACCCTTTTTAATTTTTCTTTTTCCTACACTACTTTGGGCCATTTATTTTAATTTTATTTTGCCCCATTTTTTTCTTCCTGGCCTTTTGAATAAAGAGTACGAAGTTCCTTTCTCTCTTCTTTGAAATACGAAATTTCCCGCTTTCTATATACCTTTCCTTCGCACCTAAGCTTGATTTTTCGCCCATCGGGATAGATTTAGCGGATGCAAAACAAAACTTCTGTGTACTTTGTCTGTCTGTCTCAGAAAATTTAGGGAAATATTAATTGTTGAAGCAAATAGATATCTGGCAACACTAGTTACCATGTGAAACTGCACATGTTTTTGTTTGGAGAACGATTCAATTCAATGAATAAGCTTGTGTACATAATAACTTAACCCGTAAATTCCAAATTGCTTTACTTGTTATTGTGATTAATTATGTTAAATGTATTACGAACGAATTCACCCTATATGCCTAGGTTATCAACTTTACAGAAATAACTCGAAGACGTTGTAACTATCATCATTACAACTGAACTTTTAATTATTTTAAGATGGTGAGTAAAAATTTTTGTTATTATACTCTAATAGATTTAAATATCCGTGCCTATTGCTAAAGTTAATATTTGTAATTTGGTGTTTTATATGTCAGTTTATGTTATATATTTTTATATGTCAGCTGTGTTTAACAGTTTGTCCAAAAATGCTAAGCAGTATTTTTAGAAGAAAATTTATGAAAACAGGTTATATAATTTGATATTGTTGTTTCAGCATCAACTCTATGTATTGTTCGAGCATGCTTCCGGATATGCACTATTCAGAACAAGAGAATTTGAGGAAGTTGCTGTATTTTTGCCACAAGTTCAAAACAGTATCCTTGATGTAAGCAAATTTCGTGGTGTAGTATATTTTATGGCTTTTCAGTCCTTTAGGAGTGGATCACAAGCACTGGAAAATGCCAAAAGCTTAATGAATGGTATTTTTTTTTTCTTTTTTACTATTGATTAAGTAAGCATGCAATAGAAATTCTGTACTTTTGTTTTCGTTTCTTTTCCAGGCAGATGCTGCGTTATAAGTAAAATGTATCAAGACTAAAAACATTATTTATTTAATCCAGTAATGTTTCTGTAGAAGATTTGTTATTACAGTCAGTGTATGTTTAGATTACTTTTGCTTTGGGGTATCTTTTCAAGTTCTAAAAGGCAGTTAATTCTACATGTAAGAACTGTACAGTATCTGTTCTAGAAATATTTCAAACTTGAATAGAAATATTTTTGCTGGCTGTCCCATTTGTTTGGCATTGATAGCATAAGTATACTGATAAATAATATATTTAGCAGTTTTAATCTCCTGGTCGTATTACTGCAAAGACTTCCACGCTTTCTTTCTGTTACTCTAACTTTCTGAAACTCACTCAGTCCAAGTTAATAAGTTATCAATTCTGCATTCTTTCTTTGAAAGTAAATCTGTATGTGCATGATAAATGCTACAGTAGCTATAATTGTTTAAAAGTCGCATGGAGATTTTGCTTTTTTGTAAATGACATTATCTGCATATGGAGATAACTTTCTTACTAAGAAAAAATTTAGAATTATATAGTGTGAAGTTAAAATTTTTTAAATTAAAAAAGCACCCATCCCTGTCTTTTATCTAGGGGGGGGGGAAATAACTAACTAAGTAAATAAATAAAATCTGAAAGTAAAGATTTTATGTTATGCCAAAACGAATGTTTTTATTCATTTGCCCTTTACACACCCTTTTATAGTACATTGGTACACTCTTTCATAGTGATTCGATACAAAATGCTGTTTTGAGAAATGAAGAATGTACTTTTGTGCTAATACCACTTTCGGCTAAAAATAAATAAATAAACAAAAGACCCGTAATTCCCTTCCACCCCCCAAAAAATGTGAAAGACTTAAGACTTCATATTATGCCTAAAGGGGTGTTTTTTAACATTTTGTGTGTTACCTTTATTTATTAAATACAGTCAAAAGTCATTAATCGAGACTCGTTGGGACTTCGGCGATTCCGGATTATCTATTTTTCCGGATTATAGATCATCAGTTTAAATCTCGTAAGATGGCATGCAGAAATTCTAAAATTAAAAATATGAAACCTTAATTTATGAAAGAACAATTATAATCTAAAGGGTATCAAAATTTACAAAGAAAAAAAAAGCTACTTTATTAAACATTTCTTTCAATGTAAGTTGTTTTAAGTTGCTTTGTTTTATGTGATAATACTTTCTCTTTAATTCTATAAACAGACACAATTTCTTGTTCAGTTACAAAGTTCCGCTGTTCAAGTCCCGTTAATTGTTGTGCTGAGAATACCGACTAAGTTGTCAATCAAAATTTTTTCGTTTTCACTAACCTCTCTGTCACATTCTTTATGTCTTTATCCATTTTTTTGCAGCAATTCCACTTTTTGTATGATGGACATCGAAACATACTTTCGTTTTGTACGATCTTTTGGGAGCTCCAGAATCGGAAATTATATTTGACATAATCGAAAGTTCAAGTTTACTTTTATAAAATTGCTCTTACAGTGTGCAAAAAATAATAAGCCGGATCCAATTCGAAGATTAAGGAACAATGCAATCATCAACATTAACTGAAATAGATAATTAGATAATTTTAAATTATACCGTCCGTTATACATAAAACGCGCACGCGAAAACGTTTTCTGCGCTTGCGCACACAGATATGCGCAGTGGTAAAAGGTCTTACACGCACGCGTAAACGCCTATGCGAATGTGTCAACGCGGCGCATGCGCAGAAAGTTTTTAGCTTTGAGGTCCGGATTACAGATCATTCCGGATTATGGGTGTCCGAATTAACGACTTTTGACTGTATCATGTTCTTTGCAATTAAACCATAAAATTTAATTCAATAGTAATATGACAAAATATTTTAAAGAGCATAACTTTAGAATTTCCGATATATAGGCTCGCATGTTGGGGATAAAAATTTTCTTTTTTGCCCTGTACAGTGAATAGTGTTGCCATCACTCACTTTGAAATCGTCGAGTTTCTTAATAAAAAATTCGTAACTGCTTTACAAAATATGAAATAGATAATAAAACAAATTCGGGCTTCGAGATGTCCGTATTCGGGTGGAGACGTACATTATTCAAAATTTGATGGCTCTATGCACCGTTTTTTTATCACAATGCGAGAAATGTACATATATTTATGCAGATTCTTCATTATTTAATTTCTTTAAATATAATGCAGGGCTGTAATATTTGATGGCAACAATTTAAAAAGTGATTTGCTGTTGAATGCAAAACCCTGAAGTGAAATTAATAGCCCTTCTAGGCAAATTGCCCTTTAAGCTAAAAAAACAAAAATTAATTAAAAGTTTTACCAAATTTAAAATTGATAATGAAATGTGAAAGCTTTCAGATTTTACATTATGTCCAAAGGGACTTCTTGTAACGTTTTGTGTGTTACCATTATTTATTAAATATCATGTTCTTTGCACTTAAACCATAAAAGTCAGTTTAACAGCAATATCGCAAAATTATTTTAAAATTGGCATATATTCAGAATTTCTAATGCACAGTCTCGTGCGCTGGAGATAAAAATGTTTTTTTCATGCAGTGTTGCCATCACTCGCTTTAAAATCATTGAGTTTGTTTATCAAAAATTCATTAAAGTGTTACAAAATATGAAATCGATAGTGAACAGATTCCAAATACGGTCTTCCAGATGCCCATACTCAATGGAGGATTACGTTATTCAAAACTTGATAGCTTTAGGTACTGTTGTTTTATCACAATGCAAGAAACATACGTACATTTATGCAGATTCTTCAGTATTTAATTTCTTTAAATACAGTCAAAAGTCTTTAACCTTTTGAGGCCGGGGCTTTGGTAGCAGTAAAAGCTATCAAAGGACGGGGAATCTTGAACCGAATGCTTTTCCCCCTTTTAAGAAATCACCTCCTATTTGCAACAAAGATTCTTGTGTGTGCTTTAATGGATTCTCAGAGGGGTGCATCTATGTCGCAAAAGGAAGACCTTTGAAAGAGATAAGTGGTTAAAACCCTAGGGATGTCAAATTTGACATTTCACTCCACTTTTCAGCCTGGAAAATGGGGGTAAAAGACATGGCCACTAAAGTGGACAATCCCGTCTTTTGAAAGAGAGAACTCTATGGCCACTATAATGGCCATCCCGTCTTCAAAAGGTTAATCTGGGCATCCATAATCCGGAATGATCTATAATTCGGACCTCAAAGCTGCAAACTTTCTGTGCATGCGTAAACGCATATGCATGTGCATAATACGTTTGTGCATGCACGTTTAACCTTTTGAAGACGGGATGGCCATTATAGTGGCCATAGAGTTCTCTCTTTGAAAAGATGGGGGTGTCCATTATAGTGGCCATGTCTTCCCCCCCCCCATTTTCCAGGCTGAAAAGTAGGGTGAAATGTCAAATTTGACGTCCCTGGGGTTTTAACCACTTATCTCTTTCAAAGGTCTTCCTTTTGGGACATAGGTGCACCCCTCAGAGAATCCATTAAACTACATACAAGAATCTTTGTTGCAAATAGGAGGTGATTTCCTAAAGGAGGAAAAGCATTCGGTTCAAGATTCCCCGTCCTTTGGTAAATTTTAATGCTACCAAAGCTCCGGCCTCAAAAGGTTAATGTATGAGGGGCGGTATAAGCTAAGCTAAAATTATCTAATCATCTATTTAGGTTAATGTTGCAGATTGCGTTGTTCCTTAATCCTCGAATTGGATCCGGCTTATTATTTTTTGCAGACTGTTTTATAAACAATAGAGCAATTTTATAAAGAGTAAGCTTGAACTTTCAATTATGTCAAAAAGGGTTTCCAATTCTGGAGCTGCCAAAGGGATCTACAAAGTGAAAGCATGTTTCGATGTCCATTAAACAAAAAGTGTAATTGCTACAAAAAATGAATAAAGGCATGAAGAAAGTGACAGAGAGGCGATTTGTTTCTCTAACCATTCGGAAATCTGTTTATCAATTTCACGCTGCTTTGCTACAGGGGGGACATCGCGTCGCGCAATGAACTGGAAGTTCATAAGTTCATCTGTCAGCACTATCCTCATCTTCAGTGCAGATCTTTTTATTTTATTCGGCTTATAATTCCTCACTAAATGTAGTGTTTCATCTCGATGTACTCATATAATTTAAATCAATTTCCTCGTCATTATAACTATCACGAATACACATCAAATAGTTTTCTGGTTGCAATTTTCTAATTTGGACTATGCATAATGTATGCTTTACGCATGTACGCGTTGAAAGAAATGTTTAATAAAGTAAACAAATAAATATTAAGCCTTTTCTTATAAATTTTGATACCCTTTAGATTATAATTGCTCTTTATTTCATAAATTACGGTTTCATATTTTTAATTTTATAATTTCTGCATGCCATCTTACCAGATTTAAATTGATGATCTATAATCCGACCGATAATCCGAAATCGCTGAAGTCCCGATGAGTCTCGATTAAAGACTTTTGACTGTGTAACACAAAGTGATACTATTTGGTGGGAACATTTTGAAAAGTGAATCGCCGTTTATAGTGAATCTCGACTCAAAATGCCAAATTAAATTTAAGCGAAATTAATAGCCTTTCTGGGCTAACACTGTATAAGCTTTAAAAAAAAAAAAGTTAATAAAGCGAGAAAAAAATTACAGTTTCCAAGAAAAATGCAGAACAGCTTCTGGGAAAGCAGAATTATGTGGTATTGATAGTGTATTAGCAGAAGTTGATTAAAACTCAAGTATCAGTTATTATCAGTTATATTTAATTACTGAGAGTATCAAATAGTAGAGTAAAATAAATACTCCTTTAAAAATGTAATATTGTAACTCTTATATTATTTACATGATGACTTGGGGTTCCAAAATAAAATAACTAGTAGGGTTACTCGCAGAAATGTTATACACCATAATGCTAAGATCTTGTTTACCATATAAAATCTTTTTGATATTTTTCTGTTATCAGGACTGGATTCAGAAATGTGTATATGTAAGTATGAGTACATGTATGCTTTTATTTATATATATGTGCCCTACGTATATATGTATTATATACACATGCATATATACAAACAGTTCTAAATTTCTTTTAAAAAAATTATAATTTTTTCCCCTTAAAAATTATATTTCTTAAAAAACATGTATATATATTTTTTTTTCTTAAAATTATATATACATGTATTTAATTTTTTTAAATCATTTAAAAAGGGAGTGATTAATTTGTTGGTCATTCATTTCTTAAATGATGTTTATTACCTATACATTTACCATAATTTAGCATATGCTGTTTGCTGATGATTTTCTAAAAGGTGCTTTTCCATTAAAGACTTGCAGATTTTTTTTTTCTTTTTTTGATTTGTTTGTTTTGACAAACTTTCTTGCATTAAGCATCACAGTTTTGTTTGACTTCTTTCCTGGTGAAAACTATTTTCATAACCATCATATGTGCAGGTATATTTTTCATGCAATCATATTTTTTTTTAATTACAAAAGTTTTTGCCATTTGGGATTTGCAGTATTTCACAGTAAATCATTTTTATTTCATTGATCTGAACATTAGATATTCTATCCAATCTGTTGAGCTCTACAGAGTAGTGTAAAATGGTATAGTAATAGCCAAAGATGCCAACATTTGGACTATATTTAATTGACTTCATGGAGTGTTGCATGCAATGTAATGGAGAAATGTTCTCTGTTATGCTAAATGCTATTTTAATTTTGTGGCTGATGTTAATTTCTCTTTTTATTATTCCTGCTGTATAACCTTATGATTTTTTTAATGCAGTGTTAATTATGTTATTTTTTATTTTAATTTTGTGTATTTTATTTTTAATGCAGTGTTTATTAATTATTTTTTGTTTTGGTTGATCTTTGGATTATGGTAACTTGGCGATTTTTTGGCGACCAACTCTGCTACAGCAACCCTCTGTTTTTTTTTCGCCGCCATTTTGTCTTCACGAAGTAAAGACATGTTTCTTTTCTTTTTATTTACTCAACACTTTTTCCAACAATCTACTAGCTGAATTACACTTATGTTAGAAATTTTATGGAACAAAACTGCTTAATCATGACAAATATTAACTGCAAAATTTGGAAAAAGTGCAGAATCGCAAACTCCTTGCCGCGTTTTTCAAAATCGCACATACACAGTAACCATGTACACGTCGCCTTATTTTTACTTAAAAAAACATCCGAGAATTGCACAAAAATGGCATTGCGCACACTCTTGACTTTATCCATCTAAACTGCTATTTTCTCATAAATTACAAAAATTTGCGCGAAAATGCAGGAAAATTTTGTGAATCTTTAAACTCGGTAAAAAGCACATATATGAAATTACCTGATCGCAAAAAATTATATACCCTATCCAAGGATGAACATTTCCACATATAATATAAATAAAATATCCAAAAAATTTTACCTCTATTATCTATTATAAACGTCACCAACGAATTCATAACAAAGCATTAAAAATGGTTACAAATACTTAGTGTCAAATGTTTAAATTATTTCCATGCACGTTTACTTCCACTCAAACGTATACCAAACTGCTACAAACATATAATTCACAAAATAACTATCATTTAATTAAATATAATTAAACCATGTACACGTCGACTTATTTTTACTTAAAAAAAATCCCAGAATTGCACAAAAAATGGCATTGCGCACACTCTTCACTATATCCAAGTACACTGCTTTTTTCTCATAAATTAGAAAAATTTCACGAAAAAATGCATGAAATTTTTTGTGAATCTTTAACATTCGGTAAAAAGGAACATATATGAAATTACCTGATCGCGAAAAAGTATATACTCTTTCCAAAATGAACATTTGCACGTATAAAATAAATAAAATATCCAAAAACTTTTACCTCTAAATTATCTATTATAAACGTCACCAACGAATTCATAACAAAACATTAAAAATGGTTACAAATACTTAAATTCTTTCCATACACATTTACTTCTACTCAAACGTATTCCAAAATACTACAAACATATAACTCTCAAAATCGTAATCATTAAATTAAAATGTAATTAAATTAAAAAACACTACTTAAAATATAAATAAGCACATACATTAAATTAATAAAAACTTAGCTTACAATCCTTAATTACTTTAAACTAATTCATTGCTAATAAACATTTTCCAATAATAGCATATTAATTATTTACTCCTTACATTTAGAAAATGCATAAAAATAATATCCTCAAATTAATTAAAAATACTAACTTACCAAATCTTCTACAGAATCTTGAGTGCATGGTGGATCACAAAATGTCCATTTTCACTAAATTTCTTACACCGTCATTCAAACTTATCTGTAATATCCTTCCTTTCACACAATCTCTCTTTTATCTCATTTCATTCGCACATGTTAAAAAATTCATACTTATCCGCAATTAAGCAATTCTTTTCAATTACACATAAATGGCAATAAAAATTTTCGGATTTACTTTATATAGGGCCATGGAATCCAAATATTAAACAACACTGTCTCACAAGAACATAGAATGAAACTAATGCTGTACAGCAGATATTTTTTTTTAATTTACACCCTTTTCTGATTAAAGAACAGTGATTCGTCCATTAACGTCACATGGCACATCTCATGATCTCTCATTTGCCTCACACAAAATAATGCGTAATCGGAACTGAGTACTTCTCACATTATTCCCACAGTCCTAGGTAGTAACCTTTATCTCCTCCAAAATGTCACCAAACTACCTGTTACCATATTCCAAAGATCAGCCTTTGTTTTAATTTTGTGTATTTTAATTATTCAGAATGATAAATATAATGCTTTTTTCCTGCACGGTACAAAGTTTGAGACCTGTACTTGTCAGAACTTAAGCAGTTCCAAATTTTGGAATTTTAAATCATCAATTTAAATCTAATAAAGTGAGATGTATGAATTATAAAATAAAAATATGAAATAATGAAGCATTTATGACTTTAAAGGAATAAAAATTTACAAAATAAGCTCAATATTCATTTGTTTGCATAATTAAATGTTTATTTCAATGTAATTTGCTCTTTTTTTGTGCTAATACTTTCTCTTGTATAGATAGACATAATTTCTTATTCAATAACAAAATTCCATTGGGTTAAATGTATATTTATGAGTACCCCTTGGCGATTTTTGGTGGTACATGGATGCCGAGTTTGTGCAATTCTTTGACTTGTTATTTTGGCTTGTGCAGCAGTGATTTTTGCACCAAAAATCGGCACTACACAAAGAGTAGACAGAAGTAGTACAACAAAAAGTAGATAGAAGTAGTAGGTTACTACTCTAGTTCCTGTAATTGCTGTGTCCAGTACACCCCACAAATGAAATTTTTTCATTCTCAGGAACCTCTGTCACTTTCTTCACTATAGGTAATATTTTCTGGGTTTAGAACCAAACTACACTCACTATACTGCCATCTGTTAGTTGATCAATGATTAGGACATTGTTATCATGATGAAAAACTTCTGTTATGTGATCTTCATTTATTTTGATTTTTGCACCTATTTTCATAAATTACGTCAGTTGGAAAATTTTGCTTTTCATTTGTGAAATCTGAAAACAGTCAAATTTAAGACTATTATCATAAAGCATAGTATCATCTCCTACACAGTATTACTGACATGTCATGAGACATGACTACAGACATGCTGTTCTGCTATTGTTTTTATTCTGTCACATGCTGAGAAGATTAAGAATGAATTATGTTTATTATATTTAATTTCTGTTTCTGGCATAAGGCTTAGCTTAGTCCTAAGCAAATAAATAGCTGCATATATTTAAGGCTTATCTGAAAACCAAATCAGTTATTCTTAATTCAAACAGTACTTAATGCAAGTCTTTGACCTATGAATATCATTTACAAAATCTGTTTTTTCAAATGGAAAGAAATTTCTTTCAATTTCTCCTTGCCAGTATACTCAACATTTTGCATTGATGTTAGCTGTAATTGTCACCAGGCATAATATAAACACAAAAGTTTTTCATGCTCTTTGGTATTCAGTCACTGTTATCTGAAAAAGAAAGAACTACATGAGTGTTATTTAGAAGGTGTAAAATCAGCACTGAACTTTTGGATGATGTTTCGGTTTGAGATGCAAAAAGGCAGCTGTTGAGCCAAATTATTGGTCCTATAGATTTATATGAATAAATGATAGTGTTTCTTCAACATAGAAATGTTTTGTTTAGTGCTGACATGAAATTAAGCATTCTTCCACATGATTTATTATGAAAAAAGTGTATACTGTGCTTGCATGAAGCATTATGCAATGTTAAAGGGAGGCACTATACTCTTAAGAATGTTATTTATTTCTTTTCATAAAAACCTTCTAAAATAAAAGTTCGTGGTATGGAGGTCTGGTGGCTATTATATTGTTCCAGATATTGGATGCCTGGATTTTGGACTTTGTATTGTATTTGTTTTTATTTCATGCTTATCCATTTTTTGAAGAGGCTTTCAAAGATACAAACAGCAGAAATCAAGAGGGAAAATTATCAATTGAAATTTAGTAGAAAAGTGAGAAAACTTAAAAAAATTAAACAAAGAAGTCTTGTAGAAAACAACAGCGAGCCAAAGATGTAGGGAAAGAAATAACCCAAAATGTGCCAGTATCATATCAAAAGTGTATAATATGGTTTGAACTAAAAAGTATTTATTGGAAAATTTTTAATCAAATAACAATATGATTTGTTCCATAAACTGTTTTGCATTATGATTTTAAAAGAGCATTTTAAATTCTGTGTTTTTTATTCAAATATGTTAGTTCTGAAAAGGTGTGACTGATTTTTGATTTGCTGTGATTTATTTAATTCTTACTTTAGGAGTCCTTTCTTCTGATCTTCAATTATTCTTGGAAAATAATGTTCCAAAATCAAAGAAATCCAAGCAACCAATAGTTCTTGGTGTTCAGGATCCCAAATTAGCAACTGCTATATCTGAAACTTTGGGTATTAAATGCACAACTTCTATTGCTGTACTCGAAATAAGCAGAGGTAAAACCTTTTTTAATTTATTTTATTGTTCAATTTTTAAGAAGAAATGTTTTCTTAATTTGTCTTTATGCAGCTTATTTCTTCAAAGTCTGTCAAATATTCATCCTTTCATATTATTTCATACCATGCATTACGTATATACGTCAGTTATTTATACTTATTTGCAAACCAGTATTCATTTTAAACTTACTAAACTACTACTAAACTTTAACTACTTAAATGTTACCATTTAACTTGTGTTAAATATAAGAATGTTCATTCATCATAGTAAAAATAGATGGTAACGAAAACCTAGCTTTAGAAAAATTGGTACTGTTCTGTTACCAGGAGGGTGACTGGGTCTAGAAATGTATGTATGGTATATATGTATATACATATGTATCTTTGTGTGTACACACATACATATACATGCGCATGCATACACACATATACATGCGCATATACATGTGCAGAGTAGCCAACTCTCCCGATTTTCGACTGCTCTCCCACCAACCCGATTTACAATATATTTCTCCCAACTTTTTCTTATTCTTAAAATTTCTTGCGATTTTTATCGAACTTGGCTTAATACTTCGTTATATGAGGGAAAAAAAAAAAAAAAAAAGTGATTTTGGACGTCTGAAAGCAATTGAATTTTCTCTAGATTATATCTAAAACAAAACCATGCGAATCAGATGAGAATTTCTGCTCTGTGAGTGAGAGCATACGTATCCAGAAACGTTGTTCTCCAGTTCTCCAACTGGCATCGAGCTCCACTGCGTGTCATCTGGCATATATTAGCCAATGTGCACAAAGCAAGCTCAAGGCTGTTATTTGGATGTTCTTTAGTTACTTCGTTCATTTTGGCCTGAGTTATGTGATTACACGTGCCTTCGGGAAATAGTTTTAGAAATTATAATTTTTTATTATGTCTGCGAGAAAGGTGAAATACTCTTGTATGTTTCAAAATTCGTACTCAGTTGATTTTCAAATTTGCAATGTGTACAGTCTTTGCGATTTTTCGATTTCGCATGGTGGAAGGGCGGATGTTCTCAAACATGTGCGTACACAAAGACACAAGGACAACATGAATTATTTTGTAAAAAAATGAAAAATTAAATTTTTTCTTCTTAAACAAAGGACCAAAAAGTTATTAATGCAGAATGTCTGTTCTCTGCCTTTTTACTGAAGCACAACCTGCCACTGAATGCATCGGATCACACTGCATCTTTATTTAGAAAAATGTTTTCAGGTAGTGAAATCGCTAAGAAATACTCAAGTGCAAGGACCAAAACAGGTGAAATTGTAAAAGAAACGGGTTTGAAAAATAAATATGCAGTTATTGATTGCATTAAAACAGCTCCGCTCTGCCTCTTTCGGATGAACTGTATCCAATTGTTGTTTCTTTTTTTAATCCAGAGTCTTCAGAAATTGAGTGCAGTTTACTTTCTGTCCCCACTTTAGAAGGACATTCGACAGGCTTTAATATAGCACAGCTATTTATAAAACTTTAAAAGAAAATGCAGTCCCTCTAGATAATTGCTTAGCACTTGGTGCCGATAATGCACCAGTAATGGTAGGCTTGAAGACTCATGTTGCAGGTATCTTAAAAAAGGAAAATTCAGATTTGCAGATTATGAGGTGCACCTGTCACCTCTTAAATTTAGCAGCTGAGAAAGGGGCAGCTTCTTTACCAATAAATGTGGATGAACACATTGTTAATATTTATTATTATCTTGAAAGGAGTTTTTCTAAAAGGAAGGAAAAATTGAAACAGTTGCTTAATACTGAAATGAGAAAAATTTTGAAATGTGTGTAAATGCTGGCTGTCTTTAAAGAAATGCTTATCTAGAATCCTTGATCAATGGCACCCAGTTCTTGCATTTTTTAAAGAAGTAAATGCTTCTAGAGTTAAGGGCTTTATTGAAAACTATAAAATACCTAAAGTAAATGGAAATGTAGTTACTACTTCCATTGTTAAAAATAGGTTTGAGAAAAATAAAGTAATTTCTGCACCATTCAGCAATTCTACTGGCAGTTCTCAAAATAATACTGCAAAATATAAGTGTAAAGCTGATACAAATTTCTCTCAAAATAAAAAAAATTGCTCAACACGCGAAACATTTTCTGATTACTGTAAGTTTATCTTGTGAAGAACGAATAGTTATGTTTTTTTCTTTGAAACTTAACAAAGCTTTTTGCTTTTTTTTACAATTCATTTTGCCATCATTCTATGTTCTTAACACAGTTCTACAAAGCAGAATTCCATTAATTCATGTTTTGCAATCAATGATTTATAATTTGTTTAAAGACATTTTATCAAAGTTTGTAAAACCAGTCTGTGTTTTGTCTTGTAATTCTATATATGATGTGATTTATGTTGAAATAGAAAATCGGAAGAAAGATGAAGATTTTGGTAATAAGAGCTGCAACTACAAAAGTAGTGGAAGAACTTTCAGAAGAAGACAAAAATAAGTTTTATCTTCATGTTAGAAGTTACTTCTGTCGAGTATGTGATTACATACTTCATAAATTTCCAGTCAACGCTGAAGCGATTTTGCATGCTAAAGTTGCTGATATTTCTGCTTTAGCAAATGCATCTTTTTGTAATATAACATAGTTTTTGAACAGATTTCCTGTGTTACTTCATTTAGTCATGAAAGATGATGATATTGATGTTGCCACTGATAATATTGCAGCTGCAATTTTGCAGTTTATTATTAGTAAACTTTGATGAAGTTATAAAGTCAGCTAGGATTGACACCCAGTGAAGTTTAATTGGAAAACTGAAAGGTGCTGATGGAATTTTAAAATATAGTGAACTGTCTAGAATTATGTTGGCCATCTTGACAGTTCCCCATAGTAATGCAGAGTGTGAGAGGATTTTCAATGTTATGAAAACGAGGACTAAATTTAGATCTAATGTTAGTGATGACACATTAGAAAAACTTTTATTAATGAAAGCAGGCTTACGTGGCAATTGCTATGAACAAAATTGTGAAGTTTCTTAACGAAAGCAAAATCTACCACTGTTCATAACATTAGTATGAAAACTGATTAAAGTGTCTTTTTTTTTTTTTTTTTTTTGTCCTACTCATGCAGCAATTACACATTAGTTATCCTTCTGAATGTTACTTTTAGGTATTGATTGCATGTGCAGTAAAATTTTTAGTTATTTATTTATTGCACTTGATTTGCATTGGAGTGCAAACTTTGTCATAAAACTTATAAACAAATATTAGTCAAGAAAAATAGTTGTCACCTACTTATAGTAATGAAATTAGATTCTCAATAGAGTAACTTGCTGAACTTGAATTAATCCATCATAAAAGAATATATAATATATTTTGGATATCATTACAACTGCAGATGTATGGTCTTTTAAGAATTTTAGATTGACAAGTTGTGATTTAATTGTTCAGGCATGACATGAGGATTGTTTCAAGTGACCACATGTCAAATGGCTAAACAGTTAAATAAGTGTTATACATTTTTTTGGTTTTCCAACATATAGAGAATATACATTTAAAGTATACATCTTGTTTATAAAACAACAAGGCTGCTTTGTTTTCTTATATGTCTGCATGTGGTAGCTTTTTTAGTGCATTTCAAAGGTTTTTGCTTTGTGTTTGCAACTTGCTTAATTGTTTCATGAAAGGGGTTAGTTAATTTCATATTATTTTGAAATGCAATAGGAAATAAATATATGAAATTAACAGAAATAATTGTATTCTCAGAAAAGAATAATTCATCAGATGGCAGTTTTTAATAAAATATAAAATAAAAAATGTACCTTGAAGACTCAAATATTTAGAGAAGAAATATTTAAAGCTATTGTAGACTATCATTTGTCCTAGCTTGCAACAAAAATGACCAAAACATGAAGCAAACAAATATGGCTAGCAAAATAGTGTTGATTTAATGGCTCATTTGTAGACTACCTGTTGTAGATGTTTGATTTGAAAAAAGGTAGAGTATCTCTGTAATTTAGTAATGCCAAACCACATAACTCGGTGATATGTGCAGATTAAAGAGTAATTAAAAAAAAAGAGTATAGATCTTGTGAAAAGCAGGAATTGAAAGTTTTCCTGCTTCCTGTAGTCATATTTAGGGCTGCTAGTTAATTGACTATAATTTAGATGCTTATTTTGGATCATTCCATAACTAATTTGTCAAGTAGACAGTTTCAATCACTTTTATTTATGTAAAAAATTCAAAGAAAATCCAAATATTTTTAATAGAGCCTTATGATAGGATACGATAAAAATTAATTGTGTGCATATTTGTAGAAGTTAATGTAAAATAAAAGCAAACTATGCAGAGGGTATTGAAAATTTAATAATTCTCTTTTTTGCTTAGAAACTGTACTCTATTAGAATGTTCTCAGAATATTTTTTTGTTAAATTAATATTTATTTTCTCCATATAAAAAATCAATTTGAGTTTTTTTTTTTTAACCTGTAAATTATTCTCTAAAATTATATCTTCATGTTTCAGAGAGGATATAGTGTCACATTCGTATGGTGCAACAAAAATAATTCATGTGTTAAAACTAACACTTTGAAATGTGTTAGTTTGTAAACAAAGTAAAAGATTAATTTTATAATATTGTTACGTTTTTGAAGTTATTTAGCTATTTCTAGTAGAATTTGTAATTTAAAATTGTTTTATATTCCAGTGCAATGCAGCATGAGACTTATGTGAATAGAAAACTATGCTGAGAAATTAAAAATACAGGAGCACACACATTTAATAAATAGATATTTTGTAATTGTACGCTTTTGCTTTCCAAAGAAAGGGGGGGGGGAATCGAGAAAATACCAGAATATTCTCAGGCATTTGAAAAGCTTATAAAAGCTGCAGGAAAACATCTTAATTCAGTTGTTTACTTATTGCTGTTAATGATTGTAGCGAATTTGCAGTGATATCGGAATAGTTTCTCCATTTTGAATTAAGTTTTGCTGAACGTTTTAGTAGTTTAAAATATAACTATTGTGAGATATTGCAATATTGTACGAATATCTGAAGAAATTTAAGCATTTTATTTTATTTGTTGTGATAATAAATTTTATTCACTTTTCATCTGACTTGTGCATTCAATTTATTATGAACCCGTATGCATGCAATAATATTGGCATCACATTCTTAAAATTTGATATAATATGTTTTAACATCAAATCTAGAGTTGGGAAAATTTTTAGTTATTCGTAAATGATAAATCTAGTTTCTCTGTTCTTTTCTTAGAGAAAGCAGTTATTGATTATTATTCATTACATTTTCTCAATATAATTTTTATCTCATCTCTTTCAATTGCACTATAAATAATCTTGCAGCTGAACTTTTTTAAGCCCATTTGTAACAAAAAATTGCTGTTTAGACTGTTATGTTTCTAGTCGGTCTGGTGTTAATTCTGGATTAATTCATTTGAATTTTCCTTGAAAACATGGGGAATTTAATAATTACAGTTTAAAAGGAGAATTATTAAATGTTTTTAACGTATCTTTGCTGAGCAATGAAGAATGTGAGGCATAAGTCATCTTTTACGATCACTTTTCTAATTTTCCCTGAAGCAGATGATGTTTTTTAAGAGAAACCACATTCATTCTATGATTGTATCTTTTTGGGACCTTGCAGAATTTTGCTGCATTGTTAAGAACTTAATACTGTAGAATTTTAGAATTCACAGTTCGCTTCAACTCTGCTCCAACACTGTTGGCAAAATATTTCCTAAGCTATTTTGAAAACAAGCTAGTGAGTTGAATATCCAAAACAAGTCTTATGGGGAAACAGTTAAATAAGTTCTCTTGCAATCTCAAGCCATTAAAATTTTTCTTCGTTTCTTTATTTTGTTTGAATGAATGTTTCTACCTGTTTTGATCGGATGTTTATGTAATTACGGTCTTTCCTTTTTTTTTTCACCTGTTCTTTTTGCAGTTCCTGTGAATAGAGTAAATGGAGTGAATAATTAGGAGGTGAATGTTTGAGAAAGAAATTTGAATTTCCTAAAATGTTTTGCTATTGACAATTATAAAATGTGATCTGAAACTGCGTCATAAAAGATGCAGTTAAGTGGTAATGGCTATAACACTAAATGTTGTGCTGCATTCTGATCTCTTGAAGGCCAGTTTGAGTTGTGTCATGGGATGTCTAAACAGTATGTTATATGCTTGAAATATTTAGGAGTGCATAATAAACACATTATTTCAAGATTTGTTTGGTAATAATTTCAATTAATGTTTGTATTTATTGTTACAGACCGAGTAACACTTGAGACCAAAGGTAAGAGATATTTGTAGTGTAATTTAAATATATATGTATTTAATTCATTAAAACTAAAGGCTGGAAATGTGTAGGTTAATGAGAACATTGGGTAATTTGGTTGAAACAAGTTAACTATTTTCATTGATACTGTTAATATTTAATTTTTGAAAATAATTTTACTATTGTTTAAAAGTATAAGAATATATATGCATTCATAAATGCATGATTAATAATGATAAATTTTATTAGCTTGGGTTCTGAGACTTTTTAACCCTTAGCGTTTTGTTAGCTTCGTTAAGGGACCATCCAGCATTTCTTCCACAGCTCCGTAGGCTGCACTGTGGAGCCAAATGTTTTTAGCTCCATTGGCCCCGCTACGGGGGCCATCCGACATTTGTTCAGCAGCTCCATAGGCTCTGCTGCGGAGCCAAATATTTTTAGCATGATTATGCTTAAGATGATGTGGTGTCGTCGGCGTTGGCTACTGTTATCTGTAGTTAAAACATGCTCAGTCTGTGTGCTGTTACAATTAAACCATTTCTTGACCTTTTTTTATGGTTAGCAACATGGAGAAAAATAATTATTATGATGCGAATTTACAGTTGAATTGTAGTGAAGACGTGTTTCAAGTGTTAAAAGATATTGAGAAAGACAATGTTGATTATAATTCTGTCACTACCAAAGAGATGACGAATGAGAATTATTGCAAGTGAAGATAAAGATTCACAGGAAGACTTTGATGTGACACTTCCCCAGGTAAACCCAGAATGCACATGTGAGATTGTTTCCAAAGATGTCACACAGTGGGGAATTACAAAATTTAAAATTCTTTCATTTACAAGAAAAAGTGCATATGTATAAAATAAATAAAATTAAAAGCATTCACAAGCACGTGCAATTCTTCTCACTTACAATAAGACTCCGTTTCACTTGTTCTGCTGCAAAAATGTGCCAGAGTTGCTGGTAGGCAATAGCATAAATATGTGCAGAATGTTAAAGGTTAAATTTTGTTCCACATAAATACGAATAAAACATGTATGTAACATCATAAGAGCATTTCTTATCAATACTTAAGCCATATTACATTCTTTCTGAACATTCATTTAAATCTCTTATGTAAAAACTGTACCACTATAGTGCAAGTCTATTCTAGTGATACACTATTGTCTATTCTAGTGATACACATACCATAGTCTGAGAACTAGTTCATTTGTAAACTGCAAAAAATGAAGCTTGCAAGTTTCCTTTGGACCATCAGTTTGACTACTGTGTCATAGCTGATAGGCATGAAACATGGTCTAATAAAAAAGTGGAAAAACAATAAAGAGTTTTGAAAAATGTTATGAACAATTTAAAATGTACTAACTTAACTGTATTCCAGAAACAAGATGTCTTTACTGAGAACTATATTTTTTTCGTTAACACAAAATGTGCTTGGAATGGCTGCTTTTATTAGAACTGTTTATAAGGTTCATCTAGAAAATAAAACCTGTTTAGTTATACAAAATGAAAAACAATATTTATTGGAAAAAATTTTGTTACACCCATGAAGCTTTCTTCACTTCTCTACATAATCATCTCTAATACTTAAACATTTGTTTTATCTGGTCACAAGCTTCAGAATTTCCATGTTATAACTCTTCTGCTACTAGTTCATTAAGCCAAGTGGTCACTGCATTCTCCAAATCTTCATCACTTCCAAAATGTTTACCACCCAGAAACTCTTTCAGCTTAAGGGAAAGGTGAAATTTGCCAGGAGCAAGGTCTGGACTGTAGGGTAGATGATCAAAAATTTCCCCTCCAAGTTGATCCAGCAATTCTTGAGTTGCAGCAGCAGTGGGAGGGCAGACATTGTTGTGAAGAAACACAATTCCTTCACAAGGTATTCTTCGCCTCCTGTTTTGAATGACTAGCTGTAGTTGTCTTGAAGTCTGACAATAATGATTTTCATTGATTGTAGTGCCTTTTGACACGAAATCCACCAAAAGAGCACCTTTATAGTTCCAAAGAGGCTGCCATAACCTTTTTTGTTAAGAGAGTCTGTTTGAATTTTCTTGATTGTTTAGATGATATGGGTGATTGGCACATGCTGTTTGGGGTGATGTGAGACATCCAGGTCTCGTCATCAATCTCAATCTGATCAAGAAAGGTGTCTGCATCTGTGTGATGTTGTGTCAAAAATGTCAGTGCTGAGCCTGTTCTCTGAGTTTTATATTGGTCACTCAATTGCCGTGGAACCCATCATGCACAAATTTGGTTTTAGCTGAGGTGTAGCGATACAATTTAACAGAACAAAGAATGAGAAAATATCTAGAAACACAATGTGCAATTCGTTGGGAGTTACACATTTGTCTTGCAAGATTCTGTTCACTGCAGTCTTCAGGTCTGGCAGCAGAAGAATATAACATGGGAATTCTGAAACTTGTGAACAGATATGACACAAGTTAAAATAGAAGTGGTAATTATGTAGAGAAGTGAAGGAAGCTTCAGTTATGTAACAAAATAATTTTTTTTCCCAACAAATATTGCTTTTCATTTTGTATAACTAAACATTCTTTAATTTCTGGAGTTCCTTTCATATTTAGCTATTCCATCATCTGAAACTTGGTAATTCTAGCTGATTTTCTTTTCTTTTCTTTTTTTCTTTTCTTTTTCTTTTCTTTCTTTTTTTTTTTTTTTTAAAATCTGTGAAACTCATAAATTTTGTTTCTAGTTGTGTTGAAAGCCCTAAATCAGGCAATATTATAATATTCATATTCTTCTTAATGAAATTCTTCTTAACTGAAAAATGTATTAAAATTATTTATTATATGTATTTCTGCTGTTACTTTTATTTGGTAAATCATGCTTTTTCATAAAAAATGACATTTTCATTACTGAAAAGATGTAGTTTAAGACATATAATGCTTTTGTTAAAAAAATTTTTAAATGTGAAGTATTAAATTTTCCTTAAATTTTCAGTACATTGTCAGTTGAAGAATTTAAACTTTCATTTTAGGAATTAGATTCCATTTTCATAAATTAGTGAAAGGTTTCAAAGATCTTAGTGCTGTCCAGAGATCTGAGTTAAGATTAGGACATGAATATTCTAGATATCAAGTTAAATATAGTTTTACTAAATCTACTGAATCATTTATATCAACCATGAGTTTAAATGATGCATTGGAAAAGGATATTAATACACTTGTGACAAGATTGCGGTAAGTTAAAATTTTCATATGTGTTTAAATGTTATATATTTAAATTTAACATTAGTGTTGTGGAAAAGTTTTTTACCTACCTGTACCTTTTTTACTTTGTACCTTTTTTTAATAATTACTAAATTTATTTAATAGGTTATAAGAAATGCATCATGAATGAAACTTCCTTTAAAGAAAGTGTTTAACACATCTTAAGCAAGTGCACTCATCTGAAACTCTCATGACATAGCAAAGGCTTTTTTGCAGTTGGCACACAAAATTACTTCATGGTGAAACCATTGTCCTTTAAGGGGTTAAAAAAATAAAATCACTTTCTTGAAAATCCAGAATTTAATAATATTTTAAAGTATTTCAAAGCACTTTGCTTTATGCAAAGGCAAATTGCAAAATTCACACATATACTGTGTTACACTCCATATTTATTTTTGGTGCTGCACACATGACCGTTGCAACATATTTTTGTTTCCCTAGTTCCCATGATGGGTTATATCCCTAGTCTACCTGTAGAATCTTACTTTATTGCCTTTTTCCTAATGCTGAATGTAAATGGTTTATATAGTGTTGAGGAGCAACTGCAGGAGATGAGTATGTTGCCCCTCTCAGTAGAAAGAAACTTCAAATCACAGCTGAACTTGTGGCAATCGAGTTTCTTGCTGCAGGGCAATGGATTTCCAAAACATTTTGTAGAAGGACTGTATGTCCATAGATCTGTTGCATGTGTCCCATTGTTCAGACAACAATGTACCACCTGTTGTCATGAGCATTGCAGTTGGACTGAGCAGAACTGCACTTGTGTAATATTCTGTTACTCAGAAATGAATTTAATCGTTTCCACTTAAAATCTGCTAAGTAATTCAAAGGGATAAAAATACAAGTTGAAAGAACCTCCATCCTATGACCAAACAGAGTTTCTATGTGTCAAAATAAAAAAAAAAAAAAAAAAGTTTATTATTTATAATTTTAAAAATTTATGTAATATTTCTGTGTCATCTTCTTTTTGTCGTGATTTTATTTTGTAATAATTTTTAAATTTAACAATTTATAATCTCCTAGCCTTATTTTCTGTTTCCTTTTTGCTTCTTAATCCCTCTCTGGCAATTATTTATTGCTGAAATTCAGTTTATGTAAAATTAAGGTACTTAATTTATCATTCTGTTTCTAAATAGTAGTACTGTTGACTGACAGTTTTCTAGCCAGTGATGGTATTGTTTGCGTAATGAAAGTAGTTTCCACACTGAACGTTCAAGTTTTGTTTTCTTTGCAAAAGTTGTCAAACTGCAATTTACATTTATTCTTTTATTAATTTCAGAGAAAAACTACTAAGATTTGTAATTTGCTATCAATAGAGGAGATGCAGTACATGTGTAATTAATAATATATAATTTGGCTACTGGAAAAGCAGTATGAAAATTTCTATGATATGGTATTTCAAATATGAAAAATGGCATTTCTAGCTGAGAGCGGGGGGAGTGTTTAAAAAAGGTATATAATGAAGGATTTAAAAAATTTTTAAAACCAGATCTCGATATTATTTGCTCATAAGAGCAGTACCATGCTTAACAACAGAACTTGGATTTTTGTTTTTTAAACAACATTTTTAAATCACTTATTTGATGCACATTTGATTTCACAATGCTACATATTTTATGGTCATTTAAAAAAAATTAATTATATTGTCTTTGAAGCCAGAATATGTAAATATACATAAATTGTATTTTCACTGTCTAAGCCAGGGATTTACAAACAGGCAGGAGTGTGAGATAATGTTTAAATTTTTTGTGTAAAATTAATTAATCATTTAAAAAATCACACACAACATTGGTGCACATGCAAAACATATTTTCTGTCATTTGATATGTATTTTAAAGGAGGAGAACTGAAAACTTCTGAAGCATGGATTATAAATCCATATTCTTTCAGTCTAGATGATATATCAGATGGCAAAGAACTGAAGAAAGATCTTTCAGAAATGCACACAAATCATGGTCTTGAAACATGGTTTGGAAGCAGTACATTGGAACAATAGTTGAGTTCATGCAGTAAATACATTCCTAAAATTTATTCGAAAGGCACTAAATGACTATGCCACTGTGATAACATACTTATGTGAATCTGAATATAGTGCCCTTTTGTCACTCAAAATAGAATTCAGAAAATGCTTGGATGGATAAGCAGATAAACCAACTGCTATTAATAACAAATTGTCACAATTTGAAAGACTTGTATCCAATAAACAGAAACAAAAGGGTTTTTTTTTTTTTTTTAAAGCAAATGCTGATTTTTTTTTTTTTTTTTTTTTTTAATTTTTCTTTTTTAGAAATTTTGTTGATGTTGAGGTTGCGAAAACATATTAAAAATTTTTCACGAGTGCGAAACATGAAAGAAGATGGAAAACTGTGGTCTAAACCAGAGGTTCTCAATCTTTTGAACAACACATACCATCTAAACAAAAATTGAAAACCTTTAGTACCACCACTACAAAGTAACTACTACCACCACCACTCTTGAACAAAGCTCAGATCACATAAATTTACAAGTGTTAGAGAAAAAACAGTCAGGATGTTGGGGTTTTAATTTTTGAATTTCATATTTAAAAGTACTTTGCTTCTTTGCATACCACCTATTTTTCTCTTGCATACCACCTGTTGAGAACCCATGGTCTAAACTATTTATATGCTCTATGTGTAATGTATTGGGTTTTTTAGCTTGATTTTTCTATTACATCTTCTTTTGTTAAGTATATATGCTTAAAATTTATTATATGCATTATTTTTCATTTCAGTAAATGGTACTCTTTTCATTTCCCCGAACTTTCAAAAATTGTACCACAAAATGTTTCATTTGTAAAATGTTGCAAAATTATCAAAAATCGGAAAGATATGCGAGAAGATATAGAGGAACAGCTTCAGAATGTGCTGATGGATTCTGATAAAGTTCAGGAAATTTTAGATGCTGCACATTGTTCTATGGGTATTGTATACTCTTAATCATTGTTGTTAATTATGTATTACTGTGTGAGAAGTTGTGTTAATTATGTGTTACTATATTTTTAGAAGTGCCACCATATTAAGTTATTAGAAGGAAGTTAACAGTACTTTCCATTGCAAAATGAAATAACTCGTAGTAATTTTTTTTTTTAAGTTCTTTTGCTATATTTGGCACCTAGACAAGAGTCGTTCAATCTAAAAGTTAATTTAACTGATAAATTTTCTTGTTATTTCTTACTTGGTCAGGCTATATGGTAAAATTAAAAAGCTTAACGAAAAAAAAAAATGCATCCTCAGCATTCATGGATTGCATTGTCTAGCTATAAATTTTATGGTCTTTCTATGTGCAATTGAATTTCTTTTAGGTCTTCCATGAAACGATCCACACATTCCTAGGTATGTAAGTTAATTTGCCATAATCAATTATATGACTATTGTAAAATGTCTGAGTTTTTCTTTTTTAATGTTTTTTGATTGCAGTTTCGTGTAACTGTGTTATGAATTTCTCATGGCCACTGCTTTGGCCCTAATTTAATCCACTGTTTGGTAGAAAAAATTCTTATTTGCTTTGTTACAAAGTTCAGAGTTGGTATTCTTTTGTAAATTGTTGACATAAAAAAAAAAAAGAAATTTATGCATCTTTTGCTCATAGACATTCTGAGCAAATTTTCATTCTGGTCTTCACACTTTTCGTAAAACAGAAGTTCCAGATAAGCAAGGCTTTAAAAATAAGTTGCCTTTTATGTCTCTTGTCTTTACTCTTTTATGTTTTTGGGGCAGTTCTTTCATAGATCCTTGATCATTGTCAAAACAGACATACCAATTTAGCTTTAAACTGAGTGATTGAGTTTTTTCCTCCAGGTTTGGCTACCATACCTTTTTACTTTATGCTGCTTGTTTTGTCTTTGGCATGTGTGCATTCATCTTTGTGCTTTGTGCACATGGCAACAATAGGATGAAGTTCAAACTGTGTAGTGTAGCTTTATTGCCATGCTCCTTGGCAAACTAAATCACTTTTAGTTTGGAATTTTCAGGATAGGAAATGTAAATCTTTTTTTCCCATACATTTTTATGTTTATGCAAAATAAAAATATATGGGAAGAATAATGCACAGACCAATTAAAATAATAGTAAACAGCAGCTAAGACTATATCTCAGGGAGATTAATAGGTCACATTTGTAGTTTGCAGTTTTTGCTTTATACATGCAATAGAACATTGCAATCCATTGGATGTTGGTCTAAGGCTTGCTGTTCTTAAAGTTATGAGGAAGTGAGCAATTTATTAATATCTCTAATACAGTCAAAAGTTGTTAATCCGGACTCGTCGGGACTTCGGCGATTCCGGATTATCGATTTTTCCGGATTATAGATCATCAGTTTAAATCTGGTAAGATGGCATGCAGAAATTATAAAATTAAAAATATGAAACCATAATTTATGAAATAAAGAACAATTATGATCTAAAGGGTATCAAAATTTACAAAAAAAAAAAAAAAAAAAAAAAAAGCTTAATATTTATTTGTTTACTTTATTAAACATTTCTTTAATGTAAATTGTTTAAGTTGCTTAGTTTTATGTGATACTACTTTCTCTTTAATTCTATAAACAGACATAATTTCTTGTTTTCTGAACAAGAAATTATGTCTGTTTATAGAATTAAAGAATAATAAGAATAAGAATGTTTATAAGAATGTTTATAGAAATTGTGTACAAAGTTCCACTGTTCAAGTCCTATAATTGCTGTGTCGAGAATACCGACTAATTTGTCAATCGAAATTTTTTCATATTCAATAACCTCTGTGTTACTTTCTTCACTATTGGAAGCGAATTATAATGACGAGGAATTTGATTTAAATCATATCAAAGACGGATTACATCGAGATAAAAAACTACATTTAGTAGGAATTGTAAGCCAAATAAAATGAAAACATCTGCCCTGAAGATAAGGATAGTGCTGACAGATCAACTTCCAGTTCATTGCGCGCCGCGACGCCCCCCCCCCCCCCCCCGCACAGCAGCGTGAAATTGATAAACAGATTTCGGAATGGTTAGAGAAACAAAGGATATCCCTTTATCCACTTTTTGCAGCAATTCCACTTTTTGTTTGATGGACATTGAAACATACTTTCGCTTTTAGATCCTTTGGGAGCTCCAGCATCGGAAATTCTATTTGACATAATCGAAAGTTCAAGCTTTTATAAAATTGCTGTAACAGTCTGCAAAAAATAATAAGCCAGATCCAATTTGAAGATTAAGGAACAACGCAATCTGCAACATTAACTGAGATAATTAGATAATTTTAGCTTATACCATCCGTTATACATTAAACACGCGTGCATAAACGTATTATGCGCATGCGCACACGCATATGCGCAGCCGTAAAGGTCTTACGCGCATGTGTAAACGCCTATGCACAAGCGTCAATGCAGCGCATGCGCAGAAAGTTTGTAGCTTTGAGGTCCGGATTATAGATCATTCCGAATTATGGGTGTCCAAATTAACAACTTTTGACTGTACTATCCATGTGCAAGAAAATGCTTAATTTTTTCAGAGAAAAAGGGTTCCTTATATATGTTAAAAACAGTAAGTAAAATAAATTATAAAGAAATAAGGAAAAGTTTTTACTATTGTATTTGCTGAATATTTTAATCTTTGTTAAAAGATTGGGAGTGGAGGAAAGAGATATGTAAAAATGTTTAAAATAGTGCTGAAAAATGAAAATCTTTTTATTCATACTGTTCTACCATAAAAAAAAAATGTTTCATTCCTTAATTTCTATTATAGGTATGGAAGTAGCTGCATGTGATATTGAAAATATTGAAAATCTGGCAGATAGGATACTTTCTCTCATTAAGCGGCATCAAGATCTGGCAGAGTATGTGAAATTCAAAACTCGTAAAGTGGCTCCAAATACTGCTTCGCTGATGGGAGAGAATGTAAGATTTATTTAATTTTTGAAAATATTAACCTAAATCATATAATTGACTTAATTGACACTGAACATTAATTAAAGATTATAATTATTGATATTTGTGTGTCTATAAAAAGAGATAAAAATTCTGTTTGAATAATTTTTCAGATAACTGCGCGTCTAATTACTCAGGCTGGTAGTTTGACAAATTTAGCGAAAATGCCGGCTTCAACTGTTCAGATTTTGGGAGCTGATAAAGCTTTATTCAGGTAATGAAAAAAGTATTATGTTACACAGATATCAAATTATTCTTAGGAAGATATTTGATAAAGGATTATTTTAATATAAGACCTACATGACCAGTTGCAATTCCATCTGGCACTGTTGCAACGTGTGCAGATATAGCCACATTTAATTCATTCTTTTAGCTAGAAATCATCCAGATTAATTAAACAATATTTATTACAAATGGTTCATGTATTTAAGTATTGGAATTCTGCATTTTAACCTAGACACATGAAGATCTTTAAAATATATATTGGGTCAACTACATACAGTTCCACCCCTGCAGGTATGGTATTTGTTTTCTTGGAAAATCTGGCAGCTATTTGGTATGCATTTGTAAGCTGTTTGGTATGCTATTTGGTAAGCATAAAAGGTATATTGTTGTTCAAATAATTGGAGTATCTTTCTGTTTCAAGTATATTGCCACCTCAGAGACTCATTTTATTGTAATTTCACAATCTAAGTTAGCTGTAAGAGTTACTCGAAGTTAGAGAAAAACTGTATTATATTTTCTAAATAATTTTAAAACAATCTCATTATATAAACTGTAGGAGTTTATTTTAATGCTGAAAATTTAGGATTTTTCAATTCAACTTTAATAAAACCACATTTTATTTTTAATACAAATAATTAAAAAAATTTTACTGGCCTCAAGGGCTATTGAATCAGAAGATAAAACATTGCATAAGTGATTTTAAACACTTATTCTGAAATACATAAATTTAGATTTTAAAATATTAGTAATAATGAAGCTAGCAAAAGTTACATCATATAAAACTTAAGTAGATAATGCAAATACCATATATTACACTGAATTTGTATTCCATGTATGATACTTCTAAATAACATTTAGAATGGTAGGTTTGAAAACACCAATGCCTGTCTGAAGCAAAAGGTTCTTGAAAGGGGCATTTTTATTGAATGAATCTATTCCTCAAAGAGATAGAGCCTTGCATTATATTTAAATAAATTAAATAATGAAGAATCTGCATGAATGTTTGTATGTTTCTTGCATTGTGAAAAACAGTGGTACCTAGAGACATCAAAGTTTGAATGACACAGTCCTCCAACTGAACATGAACACTTGGATTTTTTTTTTTTTTTTTTTTTTTTTTTTTGAATTTTGAATTTGAAATTTGTTCTACTTTCTATTTCATATTTTGTAAAACTTTAACACATTTTTGATTAAGAAACTCAACAGTTTCAAAGCACTGCATTAACCTTGCGTGCATCATCAAGCATGGATATTTTATCGCAAGGTTTCTTACTGGTATTATGTTAGTAGTGTAGCAATTCAAAGATGTTAATGTCTAATGGTTGTTTGCATTGAATGACTGAATGTCTTTATCACTTTTCAAATCCCATTTTGAATCCCCCATGGGGAAAAAAATGCCCTCTTGGATGCCATATAAAACCTGAAAGCTTTCAGATTTTTATTATTATTTGTTTTTTTAGAATTGCGGTTAAAGTATTAGACAGAACTGTCATTTCAGATGATTTTATTTAGTTCACTTATAGTGTTTTCCTTATGGGTGGAATTCTGTTACTGATTTTTAACCTACCTCCTGATAAGCTATTGATTTCAATTTGTACACACACTGTGTCTGAATGACAATGTAATATGGTGAAGCAGTTTTTCAAAATTCAATTTAGATGTTTACTTAAATTCAGTATTTAAAGAATATTTTGGACATATCTTTGTTTAACGAACAAACTGAGAATATCAGAATTTTACTGTTTACCATTATGCAATTTAATTCCTGATTTTTTTGGCGAATTTTTAAAAATCACTCAGTTTTTAGACTACTTTATACTTATGCTTTTAAAATTCTAACATCTAAAAATGTATGGAATATGAAGTTTTGAAATTTTCACAGATTATAAAACAAATGTCCCCCCCTCTTTTACAACAAAAATTATGATTAAAAAAAATTTACATATTAATGCGAAGACCAAAATTACTTTTATGGTAAAAAAAGTATCTATTACATGCATATTCTGTGTTTCAACTGTATTAAGACAATCGATAAACTTAGTTACAAATGGGTCTTTTTTTTTATTGTGGTGGAAACTTTATAGTGATCACTTTGAGAAAGAATTTGAAACATTGTTCCTTAGTGACTTTGCGGCAAAATAATGTATTTCTGCAGAAATTTCACATCTGTTTCTTTTATTATAGGAAAATCCTGCAAGCAAAGATTTAAAAATAGAGTTTAAGACAAAATATAAGCTTAATTTTTCTATAAAAGTCATTAGAAAAGGGAATAAAACAAAAAGAATGCATATGAAAATGGTGACTTTGGTAACTGAATATTTGTCATGAGTACAGTTGCTTTAATAATTGTTATGCATGTTGTTACCAGAGTTTTGTAAATTCTGAAGCTTTGGCAATTTCTACTAAGATAGTTGCAATAATACTTAAATACCAAAAAAGTATTAATTGAGCAATTTTCAACATTTCTTAAAAAAATTGTGTTGCAGTTTAAGGTTAATTAAAAAGCATTTTGATTTTGCCATCTGGACACATTTGATGACAAAGTTTGCTGTTGCATCAGGTTCTTCTATTTACAATAAAATTAATGTAAAATTCCTTACCTGCTGCATCTTCAGTGTTCTCGACGCCAGGCTTCTAATAATCACGTTTTCCAGTAAGAGTTTCTATTACAATTAGCAGGCCATCTTGTCTTTTAATTATTTATTGAAATAAAAAGCTAATATACACTATTTACAATGTAGGTGATAATTATTTTAAGATAGTACATTTTTAGTTCTGAGTCTTTACGCTCCTCAGAGCGGTTCCAATCTCGACTGCTTCTCGGAACTTAATTACAGCAAAAGTAAAGGAAGAGATGCCCGCCACCTAGTGGCAAGAATGTGACATTTGCCATCTTGGTACACGTAATGTTGATATTAATTTTTTCATTTTAACTCAAGTAAAATATTCATTGTAACACTTATTACATTCATTTTTCAAAACAGAAAATTTAAAGTGATTTCTTCATTCTTTGTAGGACAATCAATTATTTTTATTTTATAATTTTCGTATAATTTACTGCTTGTGTTTTAATAATGACTAAGAATTTCATCATTGATAATGTGCAATTCAAACTAAGGCTGCGTTCAGACGACGGCGTGATATAAAATTGTAGATGAATTCTGGAAATCGAATTATTTAAACTAATATTCTCATTAAACTATATGATAAATCATTTTTCTTCTTTTAGTGCATTAATGGTCATATCCATTTTAAATAAAAGCTTATTGTATAAAAACCTTTTTTTAATTGTATTTTATTTTACCAACACTGGTTTTTACCCCCTGCAGTTTCTTAACACTTTATTAAACTCAGTATTTTTAGATGAAAAGTTTAATATATGCATTATAAATTAAACCCATGAGCAACATATACAGTTAATGTCTGGTTAATATATACTAAAGATATTTTATCACACGTTTTAAAGGCTAGGGATGGGGAAATGAGCTTTGGTAGGAAATAAGTAAAAGAAAAGTATAGAAAAGTGTTCAGTGTGACTACATATCCCACCTTCTTATTGTAACACAAAAGTGGTACATTTTACAAATTTTGCAAAAAGTGTCATTTTAAATGTAAATATTATGGGTACTTTGATGTTTTGGTACTTAGTTACATTTCATGTAATGTATTAAAATCTTTTTCTTCCTTCTGTGTGCTAAATTTTGTGCATTTTATAGAGCTGTGAAGAGGAAAGGAAGCACTCTTAAATATGGCTTGATTCAAGTATCTCCCTTCATTGGAAAAGCTGACAAAATTAATAAAGGCCGTTTATCCACATTCTTAGCTAACAAGTGCTCTCTAGCAGCACGAGCAGATTGCTTTAGTGGTAAGCTGTTTTAACTGTTTCTAACCAATTAATATAATATGCATTTTCACTTGGAACTCGTAAATATATATTTTTGTATATCCTGTAAGGAAGTTTTAAAGAACTCTCGCCATTTTTGAACGAACAACCAACTTTATTTGTCAAAACTTACAGAATAACTGAAAAACATTTTTTTAAGCATGCGCATCGTCTGCAGATGTTCTTTGCGGATAATCATCTGCTGTAATTTGCATTTCTTAGTGGAACTACATTGCTGGCCACCCAAATTGATATCACAACAAAATTTATTTAGTAGATAACATGTTGACCAAGTATCAAATTATTAAATTTATAGACTTCTGGGAAGTGTGGTTCCTTTCAGAATCAGTAGCCAGAGTAGCTGCCATTATTGGAGATCACCGCTGCCACGTGCCTTGGCATTGATTCAAAGAGACTTTGGATGTGTTCTTGGGGTGCAGCAGACCAAGCAGCTTCCACACGTTGCCAAAGTTGACCTGGTGTGGAAGCTTGGGATGTAATCTGGGTCAATCGTTCGGTAACCATGGACCACATGTTTTTCTATTGGCGAAAGATCCGGTTTTGCGAGCCGGTCAAGTATGCAATTCAATCTTGCGATTGACGAAGAACACTTGGACAATGCATGCCACGTGTGGTCGCATATTATCCTGTTGAAATATGGCTATGGGCAAGTGCTGAAGGTAAGGAAGGACAACTGGCTCCAACACCTCAGAGATGTAGCTCTGTCTGTTTAAACACAGTAGATGACGTGCAGACACTGGATGATGCGTTACAGACTGAATGTGCTGTGCTATGGTTCGTGATGTGATTGATGTCACTGCCATGTGCACAATGTTCCTGTCATCACGTGAAGTGTTGCACTGAGGTGGATGCAATCGAACACGTCGGTCTGTCGTTCTCTCCTGCATCCAACAGTCACATATCAGCATTACAGTTGTTTGGTTTCGTCCAACACGACTACCGATTTCCCTGAAAGATAATCCACACTCTCGGTAGGCCACTATCCTTCCTCTGTCGTACTCGGCTACTTGATCAAACAATGATTGCTGTTTACTATGAGGCATAATTGATCGTTTCTTTTTTTTTTTTTTTTTTTCCAATAACCACAAGAAAAACGCAATTGCCGAACTTGAAATCGTTGAAAACTCCAAACCTTAAATAGCGCTTTGAAGTGGCGCCACAGGTGCGCGTGATGTGCGTCTGCGCTGAAATTCTAATCATTTGCATATCTCAGCTCTGCTAATGCATGTTGTAAATTTCATGTTATTTGTATGCTTCCTTCAGGGTGTTGCATTTACGGTGGCCAGCAGTCTATGTTGCAGTTTTAAATTATTTCCCTCACCCCCGTGAGGAGAAAACTTTTCGAAGAAAAAAAAACTTTTCGAAGAAAAGGTTTTTTTCTTTCAAATTGATGGAACTTTCAAGAAAGTTTTCATTTTAAATACATTAATGTTTTTTTTTACAAGAGAAAGATGTTCAACCATATCTGTAACTGTAACAAAGACAATCAGATACCTGACCAAATGAGTACAAGTGCTTTAAAAGAAGTTTTTTAAATAAGCATATAAAATGTAATATTCTAATATAGCAAAAATTTAAACAATGAAGTTTTAAACTTCCTAGAATGTATATTTTTAGTTGTGATATGTTTGGCTACAATGACTTAAACTGTCAGCATTTTGATGGTGCTTCCCTTTTCTATGCGCAACTTCATAGTTAAAAGATTGTAAGATCAAAGCCTATCATAATAGTCTAAGATTAGTCCCAGTGTTTTTATCCAACCATACTAGAGGATCATGATCAGTCTGAATGATGAACTTATGAGGCACATCTAGGTAGAATTTTAACTTTTGTACTGCAAAGACAATGGCAGTACACTTCCTTTCGATTGTACTGTACTTCTGTTCAGTAGGCCAAAACTTTTTGCTAAGAAATATTTTTGGATGTTTTTTGCCTTTAGCATTAATCTGTGATAATACAACGCTAATACAAATATTCGAAGCGTTGCATTGAACAATAAATGGATGAGAAAAGTTTGGACTGTTTAAGACTGGATTTTGTGCTGTTTCTTGAGTTCATCAAAAGCATTTTGGCAGTCATCAGTCCAATTTATGGTTGATTTGCAACATTTTCCTTTTAACAAATCCATGAGTGCATATAGAAAATTCAGAACTAAACCTTTGATAATACCCCGGAAGTCCTAAAAATGACCGGACTTGTGTTTTCTTCATAGGTTTAGGGAAGTCGTTGATGGTTTGGATTTTTATTTCTGCTTGTCTTCTGTGACCTTGTTCCTACTACTTGGCATAGATATTTGACAGTCGTATGAGCAAACTGACATTTCGAGTGCAGTTTAGCAATTTTCATCCTCCAAAATAATATCTAAGTGCTTCAAATGTTCTTCCCAGGTTTGCGAGAATACTGCAACATCATCAATGTAGGGTACAGCAAATTCTTCACAGTTTCTTAATAATCCTGCCATCAAGCGGCTAAAATCATATGGTGCATTTTTTAGCCCGAAAGGGTAACCTTAAGGTTTTAAATGTTCCAAAACTTGTTTTTAAAGCATCATAACGCTGGGCTCATTTAGTTAATGGGATCTGCCAGTAACCTCGAGTAAGATCTAGAACAGTTATATATCTGGCAGATGACACTTTTTCCACTGAATGTTGAATGTTTGGCAAGGAAAAATATTGTCTCCTAGTTGCCTTATTCAAGTGACGGTAATCAATGCATGGTCTTGCCTCTTTTCCAGGAACTTCAACCAGTATGAGTGGAGAGGTAGAATCCGATTCAGCTGGTTCTATTACTTTGAGTTTTATCATCTTTTCTACTTCCGTTTTTAAAATCTCGATTTGTCTGTCAGACATCCGATAAGGTTTTTGCGCATATTGGTTTTTCTGCTTCTAATTCTATATCATGTTCGGTAAAGTCAGTACATCCTGGTTTATTAGAGATAATACAGGAATATTTGTATATCAACTCTTTAAATCTTTTAGTTCGTCTTCAGGTAATAGTGAATTCAACTGGATGCCTTGCAAAACTTCAGACATTTCAGTATCTGTGCTGTAATTCATCTTCATAGCTGTTTATCCTGTCTTCTAAACATAGCAAGTTTATATTTCCTGCTCGTTGAAAATACGGTTTCAGCATATTAATGTAGTACACCTGAGTTTTATTTTTCTCAGAAAACTCGAGTACATAATTTGTCTCTCATAATTGTTGAACTATTTTTCTAGGACCAATCCATTTAACTGATAGTTTGTTTGGCTTTGATGCAGCTACAGCTAGAACTAAGTCTCCTTCTTGAAATTTATGTTTTACGGCTTTGCGATCATACCAGAGTGTTTGCCTTTCATTGGCTTCTTCCATATGCTGGACAGCGAGTTTTTGACATTTCGCCATTCAATTCATTAGTTCAAAAGTACAGTCCACGGCTGTGTTTTTTCCCTCCTCTTTACCAGATAATTTTTCATACAATAGCAGAATGCGAGTTCTTCAGTTTCTGCCATGAACTAATTCTGCGGACAAGAAAACGGTACTGCAAAAGAGCAAATAAAGCCTGAGGTAAGATTTTATCCCAGTTCGGACCAGATTCTAGACATAGGACTTGAAGAATTTTTTTTTAAAGTTCTATGCATCCTCTATATTATTGCTTTGTGGGTAGCAAACAAAACTTTGTACAACTTTAATTCCGAATTTTTCTAGGAAATTTGATGTCAGCGCACTCGTAAAAGATGTATCTTGCTCGGTTTATATTTTCTTTGGAAATCACATTCAACTAAAAATTTGAAGGAAAATATCAACAGTCGTAGTTGAACAAAGATTTTCAACAGGAACTGCGTCCGAATATTTTGAAGACATGTCGATTGCAGTTATAAGATACTTATTTCCTGAAGGTGTCACTGGCAGAGGCCCACAATCATCAACATTTATTTTTGAAAATGTTTCTGGGATAACGGGGACAATTTTCAAAGGTGCTTTCTTTTTATCTTGCGGCTTTCCAATTCTTTGACATTTATCACAAGTTTCTCAACATTTTTGTAACAATTTGGCCAATAAAAATTTTTGAATAAGGCATCTTTGATCTTTGTTGCACCAAGATGGGCTGAAGTTTCTTCATAACAAATAGTCAACAGTTTCTGATATTTTTCAGGAACAACAATTAATAGTCTTTGTGTTCCAACACGGTCTTCTTTTTTGGAAAAGAGCATTTGGCCTTTCAACATATACCTTGTAGTTTAAGAAGATTTTATTTTAGCTTCTTCATAAATCGACTTCAATTCGATGCTCTTCTTTCATTTTCAGTCAATGGGTCTTTGGTGTTAAGTTCAATTTCAGAATTTAACTCATCTGTTGAGATCAGATTTTCTGTTTCTTTTAGTCATCGCTGTTGAGCACAAGTTTGTATGGCATTTATTATTTGAACTTCATCTAGTTTTGCTTCTTCAAATAATGCAGTGGTTTTGTTACCTAAAAGATACCTTCCTTGATCTAATGAATCTCTTAAGACTGCAGCCTTTGTTATTACATGACCAAGATCACATTCAAGCTCTACCTCAACCAAAGGTAAGCACATTGTATGTTCTTCCAGGGGTGTTCGTATCCACACGGTCTCACCTGTTTACATGGGAGGCTGTACATTCTTTTGGCAAATTAAATCCAAAGTTGCACCAGTATCTCTAAGTATGGGCATTTTATAGCCATTTACGTTACCTAGGCTGGTATATGGAGGCATAATATCCTTAACACTATTTTTGGAAATTTCATTTGAGGGTACAGTTTCATTGGATGCTACGATTTCCAAATTCTTCTTGAGTTTATCACACTGAGGTCGAAGATGAAAGTAGGATCCGCATTCATAACAACAAGGTTGTTTCTGCTTCTCAAATTCCTTTCATGAATTTTATTAGTACATTCTGTCTTAACTATAGGTTAAGGATTAAAATCTTTTGAGATTTCTTTAGGATTATGTCTATTAT